TACTACTACTACTTGTACTTGTTGTTGCCATTCTGACTTCTTTTCCCCCCTCGGGAGCTGGAAGGAGCTCGATGCCGAGTCGGAGGAAGAACTTGTTGAGGCGATGGGGAATTTGAAGGCAGGATTCTGGGTTTATGGATCATAGGACTTTATAGGTTTAGGGTTCAGGGTTTGTGGATTGGGGTTTCGGGGTTCATGGTGCATGACATGGGGTTTTAGGACAGGTTGGTGCTTATTTTATGCTGTCAGAGTGCTTCTTTGGTAGGGTTGGTTTGTCTATCAATTGTCGGAGTGTGGATTCAAGAGTTTAGGAGCTCAGGGATAGGGAATTTATGGTTTGGGCTTGAAGGGCTCTCGGCTTCGAGTTCAAGGATGTCGGGTGCAGGGGTTGGGCTTGAGGATTCGGGTGAGGGTTTCGGGTTAAGGGTTTAGGGTGTTTAGGGTTTAAGGGCTTAGGGTTAATTGACTTACAGGTTTAGGGCTTGCTGTTCAGGGTTCTGCAGTTTGCGGCATTTGGGTTGCCGTCGATTAGTGCAGGGGTGAAGGCATCTTGTAGCGAGACGATGCCATGTGCATCGTGTGCCTCAACCATAAACCCTCCACCAAAACACCAAGCCGAAACCCTCAATCTTAATCAACGACCCTAAGCCTCAAACCCTAAACCTCAAAACCCAAAATTCCAGGCAAAGTATCACTCATAGTCCATATACAGCTGCACTGTCGAAAACACAGGGCCTTATTACAAAAGACAATGCACTGGCCCTTGTCATAAAACCTCATTCAACCCCTTAAAACCCCTGTTCGAAGATATGAAAAACCGCACAAAGCATCCCCACAGTAAGACCCCAACCCCAAACCCCAAACCCCCAATCCCTAAACCCTGTACTCACCCCCAAGCCTCAATCCCTAAACCCTCATCCCTAAACCCTAAACCCTAAACTCTAAGCTCTAAACCCTAAACCCCAAAACCATGGCCGGCGAGGTAAAAGGCTCCGAAGAGCGAGCCGAGTCGAAGGACGAGGTTCTCGAGGTAGGATCCTTTGAACACCCTCGGGCTCTATAGGGGCTTTTATTCGGGTTTTGCAGGATTTTGTAGCTTTTCTTTTCTTTATTCGGTTTTGTGCGGCTTATAGGGTTTTTGGTGTGGCCTTATCCAGTGCAGCTGTTTAGTGTTTGTGAAATTATGTTTTGTTGGTTTTGTGGGGCGGGGGGGGGGGGGATGGGGGCGGGGTCATTGGGTGTTACGGTCGGGGCCTTAATCGTTGTTGATCGGGTTCTATAGGGGGCTTAGCGATAAAGGCCTTACTTATCTGGCTTTACGATTCGGGCTGGAATAGGGTCTTGATCGGGTTACATAGGGTTTTACAGCCGCATCTATTGGAAATAGGATTTTCTGGGTTTGCATAACCCTCCATCGGGTATTTCATGGGGTTTCATGATAGGGGCATTCATTTTATGGGATCTCATGATAGGGGCCTTCATTTCATAGAATAGGTTTCTGGAAGCTTTGTTTTCTGATATACAACAGTTCGATAGGGAGCGCAAACTGTTCGGACTTTTCTGGTATGTGAGAGCGCACTGCATGTCCTACAAACGAGACCTCATGTCAGTGCGAAGTCTATAGTAAAAACTCTACAAGGAAACCTCATAACCACCCTAAGAGAGCCCTTTAAAGCTGCAAGAGCTGCTGGAATCCTTAGGCCGTACCATAGAGCTCCGAAGAACCAGGAACAGTATCACTTATAAGGATCCTGCATAATGTTAAGGTTTTAGGGCATTTATTTTGAAAGACTATTCTGCCGAATCGCAGCGCCCGGGACTCAGAGAGCAAAGGCTGTGGCGAGGGCACAAGTGGCTGATTGTGCGAGGCCTTAAGCTCGGAAGAGAAAGCGGAGGCCAAGGACGATGTTATGGAGGCGTGCGCCCTGCATGTTCGCATTTGGCCAGTTTTTTTTGCATCGTGTGAGGTCGAAAGCTCCGACGAGCAAGTCGAGACGAAGGAAGAGGTTATGGAGGTGTGGAGATTCCAGTGCAACATCCGCAGTTGATGGTGCCAGCTGTTCGCATGTTGCGAGGTCGAGGGCTCCGAAGAGCCAGCCGAGTCCAAGGACGAAGTAATGGAGGTGTGCCGATAGTGCGAAATCCATGTCTGATGCGTGGTGCCTCCATTATGGTCTTACGAGGTCGAAGGGTCCGAAGAGCAAGTCGAGATGGAGGACGAGGCTTTGGAGGTGTGGGGACTGTGGGGATTGCAGAGCACTAACCTTGGATGAATGGTGAAGGCTGTTGGCATTTTGCGAGGTTGAGAGCTCCAAAGAGCAAGCCGATACCGAGGACGAGCTCATGGAGGTGTGGGGATTGCGGTGCAAAAGCCCATCATTGATGCATGGTGCTACTCGCAGTTTGCGAGGTCGAGGGCCCCGATCAGCAAGCCAACAACAGGGACGAGGTATTGGAGGTGCCGCGATTGTAGTTCAAAAGCACGCATGGTGCCGGCTCTGATATATTGGGAGGTCGACGACCCCGAAGATCAAGCCGATTCCGAGGACGAGCTTATGGAGGTTTGGCGGGGATTGCAGTGCAAAATGATGCAAGCTGTTCGGAGTTTGCTAGGTTGAGGGCCCCGATCAGCAAGCCGAGAACAAGGTGCAAAATCCCATCGTTGATGCATGTACTAAACATATTATAGGGGAAAACATATTTTTTCTCCTATAATATGTTCAGTACAAAATCCCATCCTTGATGCATGGTGCTATTCGCTTTTTGCGAGGTCGAGGCCCCCGATCAGCAAGCCGAGAACAACGTACTGGAGGTCCCGGGATTGCAGTTCAAAAGCACGGATGGTGCCAGCTCTTGTGATTGCGAGGTCGACGACTCCGAAGATGAAGCCGCGCACAAGGACGAGCTTATGGAGGCATGCAGATAGCAGTGCAAAAGTACCGAAAGAAGCTGCGAACCGGACGAACTGAGGACTCTCTACTTTCACTCAAACAATTCAGACCATGCATGGTGCCAACTAGCCAACGATTAGATTTTTGTAAGGTCGAGTGCTCCGAAGAACAGACCGAAAACAAGGACGATCTCATGGAGGTGTGGGGATTACACTGCAAATTCCGGCCCTTGTTGCGCCGCACCATTGCCATTTTTGCGAGGTCGAGGGCTCCGAAGAGCGAGCCAAGTCCAAGGACGAGCTCATGGAGGTTTTGCTGCTGCAGAGCAAAAGCATGCATAACGTTTTAGGGTTTAGGGTTTAGGGTTTAGGGCTTTTTGCAGTCTGCCGAGGCCGAGGGCTCCGAAGAGCAAGCCGAGACCAGGGACAAGGAATTGGAGGTGTTGGGCTTGCAGCAGAAATCTGCATTGATGCACAGCATCTGCTGTTTTCATTTCGCTAATTATGGGGGCTCAATAATTAGAATAGGGTTTGGGGTATATTTTGCTGGAATTATAATAAGAAACCACCAAGACCTTATTCTGATTATTAAGGCCCCTACATTAGGTTCTACATTCGGAAGTCCGAGCAGTTGAGACCCTGGACGAGATAGCCGATGCCAGGGATCACCATGCCACCGTAAACTCAAAACCCGCCCTGTAAGACCACACAACAAGTAGCACAGTCCTTGCAGCATACATATTAAGCCCTTTATAAACCCAAAGAAGATTCTCATAAATACTTTGGAACACCCTTCAGGGACTGTTTGTTTCATGTTTTTTCCCTAAACCCTAAACCCTAAACCCTAAACCCTAAACCCAAAAGAGCCAGTTGTTTCTTTCGAGGTGCCAGGCTCCCCGGATCCAGAAGCCGAGTCCCACGAGCTGGTTGCCGAGGTGCTTCAAGCGGAATCCCATCCTTAGGCGTTTAGGGTTTTAGGGTTCAGGGTTTTAGGGTTTAGGGTTTTAGGGTTTAGGGTTTCAGGGTAAAGGTTCTAGGGTTGTAGGGCTTTAGGGCTTAGGGCTTAGGTTTTAGGGTTTTAGGGTTTTAGGGTTTAGGGTTTAGGGTTTAGGGCTTCGGGGCCCGTTCTGATTACTGATGAAGGCCCTTACAGTAAACCCAAATCCAATCCCGAGCTTTTGGGGTGTTGGTGTTTTTTGGAGAGGGTTTCCTTCAGCCTTACATCGTAAATCCCAAACCCCAGATCCTAAACTCGGTTTTGCTGAGTTTGGAGTCGGGAGGGCAGGGGGTTGCTGAAAGGGTCCAGAGTTTGAGGTTTAGTATGAGAGAGCTCAGCCCGCAAGCCGAAACACCCTAAATCCTGTACCCTATTTTGGCTTTTAGGTTTACGGTTTGGGATGGTTTAGGGTTTGAGGTTTATTAGGGGCCGAACCCTACATCCTGTACCCACACCCTGCATCCTATACCCTTCAAGAACCCTAGTAGAAGCCTTCCAGAAGTACCCGGCCTACCCTAAACCCTAAACCCTAAACCCTAAACCTAAACCCCAAACCCAAAACCCCAAAATCCTGCCTCAAAGGCTTCCTCCTTCGAGCTGGAGACCCCCGGCACCTTCGGCGAAGGTGACGGCATGCCGTTGATTTGCGATGCTTCACAGCTTGGGATAGTATAGGGGGCATTAATAATTCGATTAGGGTTTTGGAGTATTTTTCTTTTCAATTGCAATATAGTAAGTAGTAAAAAGGAAGCCCCAAAACGGTTTAGGTAATTATTTAGGCCCCTATATCAAGCTAGACCTTAAATCCGAAATCCGAGAACGTATACCAAGCTAAAACCCGAAGTGCAAAGCCTGGCCTGGAACGACACGAAAGCCCCCCCCGAAGAAGCTTGCCGTCCCTCAGACTTCTTCAAACTCTATAAGCCCTAAACCCTAAACCCTAAACCCCAAAACCCCTAAACCCTAAACTCTATCAAGCACTAAAGCCCAACAACAAGCCCTGAGCCGAACGCCTACACAAAAAGGGTGTCCAAAGTCCTAAAATTTTGGTCTTGCGAGGTTCTACTTACCCTAAACCCTAAACCCTAAGCCCGTTCTACGGGGCTTGGAGGATATGATGCTGCATTGGGGAGTCCTACTGGGGTTGAGGCACGGACTTTCCTGGACCTTTTATTAAACTCCTAAGCCCTAAACCGCGAACCCTAAATTCCTCAACCCGAAACAGGCCCTCATCCCCGAACCCTAAACTCCCTGAACCCTAAACTTCCTACTTCGGTGATATTGCACCTTGAGCCCGAGCTCTGAAACCTCCTTGTTAAGCTGTCCGGAGGGTGTGAGCAGACTAGGGCTTCGGGGTTTCGGGAGTTTCGGGTTTGGGGGGATTTAGGGGTGTAGAGTTTAGGGGTTTCAGGGTTTAGGGGTTTAGGTTTTTTTTTGGGTATTCTGGCGTCCCTTCTCGGTTTTCGAACACCTGGATCGCAACTGGGCATACTTGCCTTGGAACGGCAAGCTGGTGCAGACATCTTCCCGTGTGGTTGCGGCTGTGAGTTTAGATGCCTGCGCACGTGGCTTGGTCTTGAACGAAGGTGCTGAATACACAGTCGAAAGCATGCCTACGCACATGAGGATAGACGTGTATGTAAGTATATATGTATATGTGTGTGTATATATATATATATATTTATGTATATAGGTACGCATATATATATATATATATACACCACGCAAAACCCTGTAGATTATTTTACGCTGTGGTGCTTGTTGTGCCAGACGAGGGTCGAAGCCGGAGGCAAGAAGGGACAGCTGAAGCCCGAACTCCCCCAAAACCTAAAACCCTGCATCGAGGTTTTGAGGGTTTGGGCTTGGGGGTTTCTAGCTTTAGGTTTTTGAGTAAATCGGTGCACCGAAGTCTTCAACCCACGCCCGAAACTCGACTAAAGCCTCACCCCCCCCACCCCACTAAGCCTTAAACCCCGAGGCCCATGAAGCTCTGAAGTAGCAAGCCTTATAATAGCCCCACAAAGCCGCACAGATTCAACTCTATTCGCGCACCTTTCTGCATTTCCGTGTCCCAGTCTTCTGGTTCTTTTTCGACGGCTGGTTGGAGGCTTCCTGGGGAGGGGTTTAGGGTTTAGGGTTTAGGAAGTCGAGGAATAAGGGGAAACTCGCCCTTAAATCATAATAGCGCCCGAAGCTAATTACTCTCTAACCCGTCAAGGAGCCCTTGCAAAACCCCTTAAGGAACCTTTGCAAACAGCGTCAGCTGCGCTCGGTCCAAGCGAAACAAAGAAAAAATTACAAAACCTTCCCTCTCAAAGCGTGAAACGAAAAGCTCCACGCCAGAAATGCTGGCGCCGGCCGGAGACCTCTCAGGAGACCACGAGGAGGCGTGGCCTGCGGCTTCTCAAGAAGGGGAGGGTTTTGTTGTTGGTTAAGCAGAGCGGACCCCTTGAACAAAGCTGGCTCCTGAACCCCAAATCCTAGAAGGCGCCGCGTCCAACGTGCTGGCGGGATTTGTGTCGTAGGTACACGCACCCCTTCACAGGGCGCGAGGGGCGAGTTGTTTGTTGGAAGCCCTGGCTTCTCGTCGAGAGGCCGGCGCAGGCCGCGAGGATCCACAACCCAACTCCGACACCAAGCCATCTCAGCTGTAGTTTGCTACGAAAAGTGGTCGTTTTTTATATAGAACTACGAAGACACTCAGACAGTAAGAAGCCCCCTTGATGTGGTTTGGGGGGTTAGCCCTAGACCCTAAACCCTAAACCCTAAACCCTAATTGAGAATAGTTGGGGTGTTGGGGCGGGACGACGCGATAAGTGGGTGCGCCCCCAAAAGGCGCACCCACCGCGTGCACACTGTATACACACCCGAAGCCCTAAGCCCTCTTGATCCTATAGTAGTTTAAACCTCAATGATCTTCGTGGGCAATGTTCAAGGTTCGTTTGTTCGTGGGCAAGGCTCGTTTCTTCGTGGACAAAGTTCGTGGGCAAACTGTATGTCCGAACCCTAGAATAGTAGCCCGAACCCCAAAATAGTAGCCCCAATCCCAAAACAATAAAAGCCGAACCCGAAAATAGTAGTCTGAAACCTAAGACAAACGTCCCAATCCTAGAATAGTAGTCCGAATCCTAAAACTGTCGAATCCTAACATATATAGCATTGCGAACCCTAGAAGAGTAGTCCGAGCCCTAAAATAATAGTCCGAAACGTAAAATACTAGTCCGAAGCCTAAAATATAGTCCGAATCCTAAACGACTAATCCGAACCCTAGAATGTCAGTGCCAGACCCAAAATAGTAGTCCTAACCTTCAGGCAGTCGTCCGAAGCCTTACATAGTGGTCCGAACTTTAACACAAGAGTTCGAACCGTAAAATAACATTCCGAAACCGAAAATCGTACGTAGTCCGAATCCTAAATTAGTAGTTCGAACCAAAAATAATAGTCCGAAGCCCAAATAGCAGTCCGAACCCCAAAGTAGTACTCCGAACTTTTCAGTAATAGTCCGAAGCCCAAAATATCAGTCCGAATCCTTCTAGGGTTCCGTTTAGGGTTCCGTTTTGGGTTTCGTTTAGGCTTTTGCTTAGGCTTCAGTTTAAAGTTTCGGTTAAGCTTTCGTTTAGGCTTTCGCTTAGGGTGCCTTTTAGGGTTCAGTTTAAAGTTTTGGTTAAGATTTCGTTTAGGGTTTTGCCTAGGGTTCCTCGTAGGATTCCGTTCAGGGTTGCGTTTAAGGTTTCGCTTAGGGTCTAGGATCTCGTTTCGGGTTCAGGGAAGATGGTAAACATTTGGGTGGTTGTCAAAATGATGGTCCCTTTTTGGGTCCTTATTATAATACGGCACCTATTATTTAGGGTACCCCAAAAGGGACCATAATTTTGACAGCTACCCATTTGTATGTTTCTTAATGTTTGGCGCGCTACGAAGAGGAAGCTCGACTAGATACTGCTCGAACCGGAGCTGCTGAACCCTAAACTCTAAACCTTGTACCCTAAACTTCCCTAAGCCCTGAACCCT